CATTGGGATCACGGAGGAAAAGTGTGCTGCATGTGGGTCTGTGTTTGTGGTTTGTTGTGTGTTGAGTCGTGTGTTGTGCGTGTGTTGCATAGTGTGTGTTGCGTTGGTGTGTATGCATTCATGTATATGCGCTTGGGTGAGAGTACACGCATGTGAGTACGCGTGAGTGCGTTTGTCTGTTTGTGTGGCCCTCCTGCTGCTTCGTTTCCTTCCAGTCCTTGTCCTGCTCCTTGTGTTCATCCATCCTCCTGGGGGAATCAGAAGGTACTGACACCGCTTCTCCCCAGACGCAGAGAGCGCAAGGGAGTGCCTCTGCATTCGCCCGATCCTTGCTCCGCTGCCGAGGCTTCTGCTTGCTCTTCTGCCCCGCGTGCGCCTGCTTTTTCGACTCCCCCCGTCGGAGCTGTCGATGAGCCACGGTGCTGTCCGTGGGCTACTGGTCGACCTCGTTTTTCAACGAGTGGTACAGTGGAGGCCCATGCCACGAAACACCCTGTTTGTCTCCAGGGTGCCCTGGGTCCTTTGGATTTCAAAAGTTCTGCCATGGAAAACGCGACTTTCCTAGACACCAGCAAACGATGGACGTCCTGGGTTCTCATGGTTGGGTGTCTTGCGGAAGGTTTCTTGTTGATTGGCCTCTACTACGTTTTTCATGGCCAGGAGCACCTGGCACAGTCATGTCGAGCGCTTGTGCTTGTATCCGGCTGCGCGCATCGTCGAGGTATATATGCTAGGATACAGGGTGTCCCCCCGACGATGAAGGACGCCATCGAGGGGTCCTTCCGGCTCAAGAGACTTCTGAGCCGCGAGGAGATCCCAGGCGTGTCCAAGAAGAGGCCAGTGCCACTGCTCGGGGAGGAGGAGGAGGAGGAGGAAGAGGAGGGCACGGAGGAGAAAGAGATGGTTTGCAGAAGGATAGGAAGAGAGGGCGAAGGAAGGAACGAGGATGAGGATGAGAGAGAAAAATATATTCGGAGGGGGAAATCGAAAGGGCCGAATTTGAGGGACGGATGAAAAAGCAGGAGGATGCGGATAAGCAGGAGTGACCAGCATACACCCAAGACCCATCAACGATGTTGACATAAACCTTCCCTCCAAGTTTTTCCTTCACTGCCCCCTACAAGGAATCATGTCCACTAAGGGACGTGCACCGTTGGGAAACAACCGCTTAAAAAAATGTTGAACTATGCCAAAACACCATTCCTGGGACTTCAACGCGGCGAATGACCGTTACTGTTGCGTCTTGACGATCCTGAATCGTGCCAGAACGCCATGCCTGGGACTCCAACACCACGAATCAACGTAGCTGATGCGCCCCGACAGTCCTGCATCGTGTCAAAATGCGATTTCTGGGACGCTCGCCAGGAGAATCTTTGAAATTGCTACGAACACTTCAAAGATTGTGCGCGGCGCTGAGGCGATAGCCCCTTTTTGAAGAAGGAGCCGCCTTCCATCCGTGAAACTGTTGAAATGTTGTTAAGAGGAATATGCTTGGCGCTCAGGCGAGAGCCACATTTTGAAAAGGAGTCGCCTTGTATCCGTGAAACTGTTCCAAATGTCAATGCGAAGATGTGCGGCGCCAAGGCGAGAACCACACCTTGAAAAGGAACCGCCCTACATCCGTGAAGCTCTTGCAATTGTTTAAGAATGTGCTCGGCGCTACGGCGATTGCCACATTTTGAAAGCGAGCCGCCCTACATCTGGGAATATATGATGCCATGTTGTAAGGCGGATGCACGCAGCGCGAAGGCAAGAGCTATATACATTTTGAAACCCGGCCGCCCTCCATCCGTGAAGCTGTTGCAAGTTTCAAGTTTCAGGGTCATCAGTGTTGAGAAGTCTCAGGCCCAACGCCCGGCCCGCCCGTTCGTACCGGTCCCGAGGTGCGACTGGGAGGAGGTATCTGAGGAACAGGAATGGAGGAAGAGGAGGACGAGGGAGCAAATAAAAGAGGAACGGATAACAGAAGAAGGTAGGACAAGCAGGACGAGGACAATTGATAATACGGATGGTGAGGAGAAGCAGGAGGATGAGTCTGAGGGAGGTAGAATAAGGAGAGCAGGGAAAGATGAGGCAGAGGAGAAGGGAAGATCAAGGAGTAGAAGGGAGCATACCGAAGAAGGAGCCGGTGTTCTACGGCGAATGAGCGTGTATCATAAGCCACGTGCTTCCTCTGTGTCCAAGGCCGCCCTCCCAAAGCAGGAAAAAACACTCCGACCCCCATAACTGGCGTTTACTGAACGGCCGTGGGCGTTCACTAAACAGCCATGCCTTGCTCGATTCCTGCGTCTGGGTCGTTTACTGACCGGCTTAGCTTGACGGGGTGTCTCTTATGAGGGTGATTGTCTTGTGATCGTTTTTTTCTGTTTTGCCGATCGGCGCGGGCCCTCGCACTCCCCCCCTCCCCCCCCCAATGGAGTAGATCTTGGCTGCCTTTTGGCGCCTGTTTCAGGCAGGTGGAGTCTCGCCCGCGGGGCGCACTGTTGCACATAGACGCATGCGGCAGAGGTCCGGAGCCATACCCCCCTTCCCCCCCCCCCCGCTTTCCGCCCAATGTCGAAACGCCGAACCAAAAAGCGCTCACCTTGCCCTCTTCCCGCCCGCACGCGGCACCGCGAGGCGCGTGGACGTCCAGCAGAGGACCCCGGCCGAGAAGTCCAAGATCACACAGCTGCTGAACAGGCCAGTACTCGCGGCCAGTTCCCGCGCGCCGCGCTGTTCGGGGGCGTAGGCATACAGCGCCGTTGTTTACACATGTTCCGCGTGCGGGTCATGTATTAAACATGCAGGGATTTAGCATTAAAAACAACGATGAGTTCATGCATACATTCATTCATGAATTAATCATGTATTCAAAACCCTATATTATTAGACCTCCTATGTATTGAAAGCTGCCCTGTAGGGGGGATAGGCACAGGGGTTGATAGGGGGGATAGGCATAGGGGGGGACGCACCGGCCCCCAAGTCGCCCACCGATCGCCAGCAGGGGCCCGAGGGACCCCACCCCGCCCAGGAGGGTGCGGAGCCACTGCCGGGGGCCCACCGCCGATCCGTCGACGAGGCATCGCCGATTCCAGGCCGATGCATAGTCGACCTGTCCATCCCCCTTCCCTCCTCCCCTCTTTCCCCTCCTCCCCCCCGTCCCCTTTCCCTCCCGAACTCGACGCCCCCCCCCTTCCCTCCCGTCTCCCCCCCCCCCTCTGCCCATCCCCCCCCTACAGTGCCGTTTTTTTTTCAAGCTCCGCGTGCGGATCGTGTATGAAACATGCAGGGAGTTCGTATTGAAAACAGCGAGGAGTTCATGCACAAGTTTATGCATGCATTGATCATGTATTAAAATCCTGTATGTTCAAAAGTCCCATGTATTGAAAACTGCCCTGTATCGCTGCACCTCAGATGTGCTGGCATCGCAGGCAGGCGCGCCAGGCGCCAACCTGCGGCACGAGGGATTTTTCGAGGAGGCCTGCCAGTCTCTCGTTTTGTGGCCTCCGGAGGCGGCCCCGTTCCTGGCCGCGCGACCGCCAGCACCGGGTCCGATGGAGAAGCCGGTGCCTTGAGAAGGGGCCGCGAAAGTTGGGGGCTGGTGCCTCGAATAATCGAGTCGTCGGAGTTTGAGGTGTTGCCAGGGTGATGTGGCTTATCGAGAGCAGGTCGCAGTGCCAGCGCGCCCGAACCTGTGAAGGGATCGAGGATCGACTCGTCTTCTGGGGCGGCGGTGGATGCAGGCATCAGCGCGCAGATCTCGTTGACTCGCGGCGTGTTGCATGCACACACTTCCCGAAAGGACATCCAGATGGAACATTGGCGCACGAGCATGGGAATGGTCGAGCAGCTGTCGAGAGCGATGTCCCGAAGATGAAATCCAGCATCGGCCATAGTAATGTCTGACGTGCAAATCGGCTCGAATCTGTCGCAGTACAGCTTAATACGGCCTACTCCCTGGGTCAATCCGGCAGTGATGTGATGAGTACGTGTGGTCCATGGTGAATATGCCTTGGGCGTTTCCCTTCCCGTTTTCAGCTCGGCCTGTCGGACACCGTTTTTGTGTTTTACATGCGATCAGGTCTCTACAGCGAAAAAAGAACGTTGAAGCAAGAACCCATCGGTCGTTGAAAGTAGGTACTTCTGGACTCCAAGATCCCAATATGTTAGCAGCCGTTCTACGTCAATTATCGAGTGGTTTTCCCTCTTCCCTCCTCATCAGGGGGCGGGCGGAGATGCAATCTACTTACAACGCCTTCTTACTGCATGGTTCCACCTACTTCTTCCGACCGATGGGTCATATGTTTAGAGGTTTCATATCTCTTGTTTCCCACCGTCGGGGCCCGCCGCGGACGTGCCAGGGTGCCAGACGGGTATTCAGAGCATGTTCTCCGCGCTCAGATTTGCGCGCGCGAACCAGTTTCAGCCCCCCGCCCCGTTTGCACGGCGGACTGACTTTCAAATGATGGTATGCAAGCAGTGAGGACGCCGGCGGGTCAACACCATCCTTTCTTTGGGAGTTTGGCGAAGTGGCGCGGAGCATTGAGAGTCATGCCGCAGCGCGCATGCCAGCTGTCCCTGCTGGGGTTTGTCTGAAGGCTTCGGATTATCGAAGACGCCTACGACGAATCACCGCCTGCCCCTGCCTTTTGTGGAAACGCCCATGCGGCTGAACGTTGGGCCAAACTCTGGCCAAGCTATTGGCCATGTGTCCCCACAGCCGTCGTGGAACCCCCATTGGGAGAACACGTGGGAGAGGAAGAGAAAGGAGGAGGAGAGGGAGGAGAAGGAGGACGAGGGGGAGGCGGAGGAGGACCAGTGCAAACCCAAGACGCATGAACAATGTTGCAATCACCCCCCCATTAAAGTTCCCTCTTCAGAGGCTCATACTAGAAAATGTTGCGAAGGCCTTAGGGCCGGTGCCGCCGACCCTGAAAGGCGACGACGACGACGGCGGCGGCGGCGACAACGACGACGTCGACGCTGATGTTTCTTCGGAGCGCTCTGGGAGGCCTCTGGGTGGCGGTTATTTGGGCTTCTTGGGAGCCACTTTGGGACCTCTCGGGAGCCTCTTGGTGGCCTTATGGGGTGGCTTAGGGGCCTCGTGGATGCCTCTTGGGTGCCTGTTGGGGGCATCTTGGGGCCTCCTGGAAGCCTTTGGGGCCCCTCATCTGGAGACCGGCTTGGGGCCGACTTGGGGGCCCCCTGGGCCGTTTTGAGGCCTCTTAGGCCATCTTGGGGCCCTTTTGGATGGTTTGGGGGTCCTCTTGGGCCGTCTTGGGCCGATCTTAGGGGCTAGGCCGTCTTGCAGCGTCGGGAAGCCGACAAGGCGAGAAGGCCCAAATCTGTCAAAACTCGCTTAGCACAATCCAGTCAATTTGCCTCTTGGCACCCTCTTGGGAGTGCTCCTAGATGATCTGGGGGCGTCCTGGAGGCCTGTTGGGCCGTCTGGAATTGGGCGTCCTCACCGAACTTTCGGCGATTCGGGGTCCTCTTGGACCGTCTTGGGATCCTCTTGGGCCACTCTTGGCCCGTCTTGGGGCCTCCTTGGGCCCTGGGACCCCCAGAGCGGATGGCGCTTCTACCCGGGACCCCCGTCGACCCCACCCCCCCACGATCTCCCCCGGGTACCTTTCTCCTTCCCCCAGCGGGGAGGGGATCAAGGGAAGGGCTTCCCTTCGACTCAATAACGACGTTGGTTATTTTCATGTTGATTGGCGAGGTCGAGGAGGAGGGCTTAGGGAAAGGAGGGGGAAAGCTGCGACGGGCGCAGGAGAACTCTGCGACAGGCGGCTTAAGGAAAGGGGAGGACAGCGGCGATGGCGACGGAGCAAACGGAACAGCATCTCACACACGCCGATTTGGGGGAACATGAGGGAGAGGAAGAGACAGGAGTAGGACAAGGAGAACGAACAGGAGGGAGGAGGATGAGGACCATGGTGAACCCAAACGCAGCAATGATGCTCCAATAGCCCATTCCTCCAAGGTGCCTCTTCACTTGTTCCTGACCTCATGAAAATCCCCCATCGTAACACAACTGCACCATTCCTAGGACTTCGACGCCGCTAATTCGCGTGACTGCTGCGTCTGGACAATCCCGAATCCGGAACACCGTTCTTGGGACATCAACTCCGTGAATCAAGGTGATTGTTGCGCGCTGACAGTCTTAATCCGAGCCAGAGCACCATTTCAGGCACTTCTGCATAGTTTGAAGACGAATTTTTGTGGCGCTTAGGCGAGAGCCACATTTTGAAACTCAGCCGCTCTCCATCCTACAAGCTGCTGCCACCGTTTAAAACGAATGCGCGCGGCGCCAAGGCGAAAGTCACATTATGATAACGACCCGCGCTCCATCATTGAAGCTGCTTCAACCTTTCAAAACGAGTGCAAGAGCTCTATTTTGAAAGCGACTCGCGCTCCATCCGCAAAACGGGTGCAAATGTTTAGGACGAGTGTGTGTGTGGCAGTAAAACGATGGCCACATGTTGAAAATGAATTGCCCTCCATTCGTTAAGTTGTTGCAAATTCCGAGCTTCGGGATCAGTGGCTATGACTCTTTCCTCGCCGTCTCCCGCCGTCGCGTCGCCGCTATCGTTGCCTGACACCGGTGTTGGATCCGCAGCCTCATGCGGCTACAATTTGGTGAAAAGGGCACGCGTGCCTCTCTTTCAGCGCGCGCGTACCATCACATGTAGTTGTGCATCGTCGACTGACGGATTGTACAACAGGATGACCTACAAATCACAATGTCCGAATTTCCTAATCCTCTGGCAAATAGTTGGATCATTCATTGCGTTGCAGTCTCAAGCGAAATGGGTGGCCCGCCCACATCGACACACTTCGAGGTGTGACAGGGAGGCGTTTCTAATCAGGACACGTGATGGAAGAGGGGGAGCAATAATAAGAAGCTTCTTGAGGCCCCCTGGGGGCCTCCTGGGAGCCTCACTGGGGCCTCTGAGGAGCGTTGTTGGGTTTCCTGGTGCCGCTTGGGGGCCTCCTGGGGCCTCTTGGGGGCCTCCAGGTGAGCCTCTAGAGGATGTCTTGGCTGTCACGGTGCCCTCTCTGGACATTCGTGGGTCCATCTCCAAGCTTTTAAGCCGTCTTGGGGGTCGATGGGGCCCTCTGAGGCCTGATTTGGGTTTCTTAGGGGACCTCCAGGGTCGTTTGGGGGAGTATTGGAGCCCAGATGGCGGTCTCGGGTGTCGCCATGGGGCGGAGAGCGCGAAGTGTCATTTCGAGTCCCTTCTCTTGGGACTCTTCTGGAGCCCTCTTAGGGCCGTCTTGGACCGTTTGGGGGCCTCTTGGGCCGCCTGGGGATGTTTGTGGGGGCTTCTCGGGCTGTCTTTGGGCAATATTGGAAGCTTCTTTGGCAGTGTTCGAGCGTCGGAAGCCCGAAACGGCAAGAATTCCAAGATCCGTTAAACACCTCAGGGAAATAGCTTGTGTTGGCTTCACGGGGGGCCATCTGGAGAGTCGTCTCCGAGGCCTCATGGACCGTCTTGGAGGCCTCGTTTGGCCCATCTTGGGCCCGCAGGGGGCCTGCCGTATTGAGCCCGCAGTCCAAGAGTCACGGCGGGTCCTCAGGGGAAACCTAGTTTGCAAATCTTCCAATGGCCTACTGTTCGGAGATCTGGGTTATGGCCTCGACCTGCAAGTGGCTCAACACGTGAGTGTCGTAGGGCCGCTTGGGAGCTGTCTTGACGCTCCTTTTTGCGCTCTTCGGGCTCTCGTGGGGCCTCTCGAAGCCGTCGTTCCATTTCCTGGGAGGTCTGGAAGCAGTGCTGGAAGGTCCCGGGGCCGCCCGGCAGGGTCGTAGGGGCCGTCCTGGGGCAGCATTGGGCCGTCTTGGGGCTTTCTTGGTGGTCAGCTTGGGGCCTCTGGGGCGACCACCTCGAGCCATCCCTGGAGTGTGCTGTGCCATCGTGGCGCCTGTCATCATCGGGGATGACAAAACCCGAACCCTAATAACACGATGAAGACGTAGCCTCACTGAGGTTTCTCCCCTTTTGCATCGAGGGTAATAAACTCGGGCGGCTTGGTCCGAAGCGCCCGCAGAGAAAGAGCCCTGTGACTCATGTGCTTGGCCATCCTGACTTAGGTCCTCTCCCGAAGGGTTAGGGGTCCTTTTTTGGTTTCTCATGCCACCGATTGGACCCTGTCACCGCTCTCGTGCCTCTCCTGCCCTGCCCTCGGCAGGACTTCTGCAGGTGGTCACATCCGCCTCGCGTCCCCTGGCCCAGACGAGCAACGCGCATCAACCCGCATCAGCGTGAAGGCGTTACGGCCAGTGCCGCCGACCCTGACGAGGGACGACGACGACGACGACGACGACGACGACGACGACGACGACGACGACGACGACGACGACGACGACGACGACAACGCGTCTCTGGGCTAGATGAGCAACATAGCGAACCGCATTATTCCACCCGCCTGGCCAGGGACTGGCGGATCTGCACGGCCCTGGCCTGATGGGCCGGCGAACCGAGACCGCCATGGCACGCGAGCACCTGCGCATCCCGTCTGGAACTGGTTCGTTGGCGCAGCTGTCAGGCCGCATCGGCATTCCCGCCAGCAGTCAGGCCGCATCAACGAGATGTGTGCGGGGTCAGTGCGCATCGCGTCGATGCTCGCAGCAGTCGCAGGATGGGCCCCGGGACGCGCGTGTATCCGCTCTCGTCCGCATCCCGCGAGCAGCCAGGCCTCATCGCATTCGGCCTTCTCCGTGTGAGGGTTCGACACTTGCTTCGGAGGAGTGGGCATTGGGCAGGTGGGGACTCAGCGGGGACGAGCTCACGAAGCACGTTCTGGAGAGCCTCACGCTGCAGGCTCGCGCGGAGGGGACGCCCTCGGAGCGCTCCTGGGGCGCATGCTCGAAGGCGGCGTGCGCTTGCTCGCCCAGCCGCACGAGCGCACGCCGGGATTTTGCGCCGAGGAGGCGCGAAGGCGACGGCTGGCGTGCGAGTGCAAGCCCGAGCGAGCAGCTTCGGGGAGGGGCGATTCGAGACCCGGGGACCAACAGATGCCAGCCCACGGCGCGGAACCCATAAAGTCAACCCGCATAGTCAGTCAGGTGGATCGTTTTTTTGTTCGTTGGTTTGCCGATCGGCGCAGGCCCTCGCAACCCCCCCCTGCCCCCCGCTTTGGGGCGCCCGTTTCGACCCCCGTAGGACGCACTGCTGCAAACAGTCGCACTGAGCGCCAGACCCCCCCCTTCCCCCCTCCTTCCGCCGAATGTCGAAACGCCGTATAAAGAACGCTCATGAGCATGAGCAAGGTTCCAAGGTTCCCCTTGCGTCCTTCCCCACTCGGCCCGTCCCGGACCGCTTGCGCTGGGCGCTTGTTGCTTGCGAAGTGGTGTCGGCATGGTCTTCCACGGCCCCGTGCCTCCCCACCGTGCGTCCTTGCTGTACGGGTTGACTGCGCGCAATATGGGTTGGGGAGGTTCCGGGGACCTCCGAGAGCGAGATCGTTTAGGGTTGAACGGCTCACGCGATGGCAGATGCCAGAGCCCGCGTGGTCAAGGCAGGAGCTTGTTCTCGTTGTCCTAGCCAGGGAGCGATGGGCGACGAAGCCGGGAGCGGCTCGGTACAGTCAGAGCCCAGAAGAGCCCCAGCATGAAGGGTACAGCATTCTACCAGAATCCAATCCTTACCCAGGCCGCAGCTGCAACTGTTTCAATATAGACGTCCATTGCACGCAAGCTTGTGCATCCACGGGTCGACGGCTCCGCGGGGGGCACGGGGAGCTGGCGAGCTGACCCTGCACGGGCGGCGCGGCGCCCACGCGCTCGCATTTCAGGGTTTGCTTCCCTGGTGCATCGTGTTGGCTCGCATCGCGGGCAGTTTATCTCCCGCACTCCCCGGGTTCCGCCGCTCAGGAAAAACAGGGGGAACCACCCCAAGAGGCCTGTGCGGACGCACTCCTCTCGAAGGTGGACGCCCCCCCATCGTGTATCCCAGGGTTGGGCCCCAAATGTCTGGTCCATTCGACAACCTCCCAGAGAATGGGGTAGGGGTCGACATACAGTCGAGATCCATGCCAAGAAACACCCTGCTTGCCTCCGGGGCTCTGGGCTGCGTTGGGCTTCGATGGTTCTGCCACGGAAAGCGCGACGTCCCTACACCAAACCAAGGGAGGAAAAACCACCCGGACCGGACAAATGGCGTTTACCCTGGGCGTTTACTAAACAGCCTTGCCTGCTCGATTCCTTCTTTCGGTGCGTTTACTAAACGGCTTCGCGTGTCGGGGTGGTTATCATCGGGGTGGATTTTCTGCCCTCTACCAAAAATCAGTGGACGTTCTGGAGTCTCAGGGTTGGGTTTCTTATGGAAGGTTTCCCCTGCCGTTGGCGCGGCTGCCAGAGGCGCAGGGGCCCCGTCTGCCAGGTCCCTCCCCCCCCGCGGGGGCTTTCGGAGAGGACCGCTGCCCTCCGCGGCAGGGCGGCGGCCCGTCTAATAAGAGCGGCGCGAGGGCTACGGCAGCGACGACGACGAGGCGACGACGACGACGACGACGACGACGAGGACGACGAGGTCGACGACGACGACGACGACGACGACGACGACGACGACGACGACGACCACGACCACGACGAAGACGACGACGAGGAGGACGAGGCTGACGACGACGAGGACGACGACGACGACGCGAGTCTCTCCCAGGCGGGCCTCGCGGGGCCCAGCTCGGGCCGCTGGGGAGTTGGGGACGGCGGCCCGCAGGGGGCTGCGCGCAGTGCGGCCCGCTTCGCGGTGCGGGAGGCGCGATTAAGGCGACCGCAACCATGGATCAGGGGGGCGTGGATTAGCGACGGGTCGCGCTTCCATGGGAAACTGCCGATTGCCGCCGCCGAGCGAGGCGGCGCCGGCCGCATTTTGGCGGGGGCACCTCCCCCGATCCATGGATTAGGCGACCGCGCGCCAAGTCGCTAATCCATGTTTGCGTGCCCCCGAGCGATGTGTGCATGCTCTCGGAGCCGCACACCCAGAGGTTGGCACCAACACCAACATCGGCGGTGTGCCTCCACCGAAGGAGGATTACCTCGATCTCGGCGGTGCTGGTAATACTCGAGCTTCCCAGATGGCCGGAAGATGACCACCAACATCAGAATCTACAATACATCTCACCAGGTGGAGGCAACCCCTTGTGATGGTGTTGGTGCCTACTTCCAAGCCTCCAGCAGAGAGCATGTGCCGATGCGGGCCCGCGCGTGCGGGCGCGCTGCCCCACGCGCTCGCGCTCGCGACCGTGCACTGAGCGCGTCCACTTGTGTGCGCCTGCTTGGGGTCCGCCCGCACTTCTGCGCCGCCGCACGCTTAGATGTGTTAAAAAAACGCTGGGTTTTTGTTTCTCCGTTTTCTTCAAGATCGACGCTTTTTTCTGTTTTGGGCTCCGTCTTTTTTCCGGTTTGGGGTTGCCGTCTCGCCGTTTTCGGTGCGTTTTACGATCCGTTGTTTTTATTGTTTTTAGCTGCCGTTTTGTTTCCGTTTTCGTAGCGGCGTCCGTCGGTACATCATGCATCGTCTGCTTGGCGCCCTGGCGCGCCGTTTTTTTCTGTTTGGGCTCTCCGTTTTCAAACTGTTTTCGCTTTCCGTTTTTTTTGTTTTGGGGCCGGCGGGTGTCGTTTTCTTTCTGTTTTGAGTTGCTGTTTGATTTCTGTTTTGGTCGGCCGCAACACGAAAAGTTGAAAACGAAAAAAAAACAAAAAAAAACAAAAAACCGCCCCCAGCGTTTTTCAGAACAACTAAGGCCGCACGTGCACGTACGCCGTCGGGCGTTCGCGCGCTCTCTACGGAGCAGTCTCGCGTTTGTGAGTCCCTCATCCGTCTTTCGCTCTCCAGTCTGTTCTGCAGCTATCCACCTGCCTGGCACGCGTCGCAGCGCCGGTGCTGCCCACGTGCCCGCCCCCTGCATCTCGAGGAGGAGCATTCGCGTCGGATGCACCGAATGCACGCCCTCGAGGGACGACTGCGGTCTTGCCAATTGTCGTGCACAGTTGTCGGACCAGATGGTCGAAAAAACGCGACCGGTAGGCGCCAACTGCACACGTACACCGATCCTGGCAAGGACAATGTTGGGCCCGGGATCGGGACCGTGTTTTCCTGGCCGATCCTGGCCCAGGATCGGGACCAGGCTCACGGTTGGCGTCCTCCGCAAGCACTTGGCTGCCCTTGTTGTCTCATGATGTGACCCCCGCAGCTCTCGACCTCATCAGGGCCGCCTACGATCCGATTCGATGCGATTCGATTCGCGGGCTGGGCTCGCGATTCCGGTTCGGTCCGATTCGATTCGCCAGCATCGGCCCTGGCCAACTGGAGCCGCGCGCGGCGATCCTATTTCGCTTCGATTCGGGGCGACTCGCTGGCGATTCGGCCCGTTTCAGATCCGATCCGATTTCACGACTCGATCCAGCTCAGGCCTGCCTCATCCCTGGGACTGGCTGTTTTGCCCCAGGGGCATTTTGGATGGTCCGGGCCGGAACGCGGCCCCAGAGGCCCCGGCTCGGGGAACCACGGCCGTCTCGATGAGTTGGCACGCCACGAAGCGCGAAGTTGGGTTGCCTTCTTAGCCAAGCAGGCTTGGCGCGCCTGGTGCGAGAGCAGCGGGCGGGCGCGGGGGAGGAGGAGGAGGAGGAGGAGGAGGAGGAGGAGGAGGAGAGGAGGAGGAGGAGGAGGAGGAGGAGGAGCCACGTGAGGAGCTCGCGCGCGCGGGGTCGGCCCCGACCCCTCCGTGGCCTCTAAAGGCACCGGGGGGCCGCCTTCGGCCTCTCAAGGCCGCCAGATCGCCACGAGGGAGAGGGGTGGAAGGCGAGGGGCCGTGGAGGTCTTTCGTCGTTCTCGGTGTCCCTGGGCCCTCCCCGCCTCCTCCTCCTCCTCCGCCTCCTCCTCCTCCTCCTCCTCCTCCTCCTCCTCCTCCTCCTCCTCCTCTGGCCCCAGGGCGCACAAGGCGCGGCTCAGGATGAACAGGTTGGTTCCGGGGAAGGCCCCCGAGGGCCCGACTCTGCCCGGACCCGCTGACGTCATGCTGAGCCTCGGCTGCGCGCAAGAGTGACCTCTCGCCGGAGTGGCCTTCGGTGCGGGCCCCGATGGCTTGCGCGCTCTGGATGTGGCTGCCCCGGGGCCCCCGAAAGCCGCGCAACCCGGGCCACTCTTGCCCACAGTTGGCCTCGCTTCGAAGGTCGACCCTGCCAAGTCAAGGGTACCCTCGTGTCCTGTGTTTCGCGACCCGTGCCTGCTGCATTCATGTGGCAGCATGGCCCTCGGCAGGGTCTCGTGTCCTCTCGCGTGGCCTCTCCCACCAAGCGTGTACGGTGGAGGCCCATGCCAAGAAGCACCCTGCTTGCCTCCAGGGTGCCATGGGGTTGCGATGGGCTTGCGATGGAAAGCGCGACGCTCCCACGCCGAAAATCAGTGGACGCCCTGGGGTTCCAGGGATAAGTCGGGCCTGTCCCTCTGCAGGAGGAGCATTCACAAATAGTCAAGGCATAGTCCGGGGACGGTTCTTCTACTAGCTTTGATCATCTGGGAGCACTTTTGTGTTTACTATTTCTGTTGGCTCGTCCCAGAACCCGCCTGGAAAGGGACGTGCCCGACCCGATTCCAGGGTTTGTGTTCCTCGTGGAGGGCTTCTGTGTGCTCGGGCCTCCGCCGTAGCCGACAGGCCGAAGAGGCTCCGACGGCCCGCCGCCCGCCAGAGGCCCGCCAGGGGCCACCCGCGCGCGGGCGCCGCAGGAGCTGGCCCAGCTGGCCCAGAGCGGCTACTCGCCCGACGTCAACAGCCAGTGGAAGGCGGCGGAGTAGCGGCGACGACGACGACCACGACGACGACCACCACGACGACGACGACGACGACGACGACGACGACGACGACGACGACGACATCGGAGAAGCGCCAGACGGCAGGAGCACGAGCTGTTGGCGCTCCCCGCGGGCCTCTTGGATCCGCGCTGGGCCCCCTCTGGCGGTGCCTCCGGCGCCGCCCCTGGCGCGCCCCGCGCGCCAGGGAGGGCGGTTCGGCGCAGATCCAAGAACTCCGCGCGGAGCGCCAACAGTTTCTGTGAATGCCGTTGTTGTTTGCTGCTTTGCTTCTTTTTATTGTTCTTCTTCTTCTTCTTCTTCTTCTTCGACAGCCCGCGCTGCGCCCCAGACGCCCGACGGCGCGCGTGAGGCAGGTGCAGCAGGCACACCAAGGACGCCACACGAGCGATGCGAATGCCGTCGGGCCAAGGTTTCGCCACGGCGGTAACGGGTCCTGAGGGAAACGGGTCCTGAGGTTTTTTCGCCGTTTATTTTCGGGCTCTCGGTGCTGTCAGGAAACGACTCAGGATGAAGACCTCGTCCTGCGGGAAGGCCCCGGGGTACAGGACCCGTTTCCTTCAGGACCCGTTTTTTTCAGGACCCGTTTCCCCCATGCGAAAAGATGAGGTCGGAGCAGGTGGGGTTGGAGGATCGTCCCGCATCGCCGATGCATCGGCGATGCGGCTCGGTGTGGAGCCCGATGTTCTCCATGCCGACGTCGCCGATGCATCGCCGGCGTGGCCGATGCACCGATGATGCATCGGTGATGCAGCGGCGCGATTCTCCGACCCTATCTTCTCTGCCCCCATGCGGAAGGCTTCCATGGAGGCCCCGAATACGATGGGGTTGAGGGTTCGGGGCGTGATCATTCACGACGTTGCGAGCTGTGCCCTAGCGTCGGATGTCGGGGCACGACGATCGCACGAACCATTTTCAGCTCGCACCGTCTCCATCCTCGTTCTGCTCCTCGTCGGTCTCGGCCTCGTCTCCATCCTCTTTCCCCTGGTCTCCTGTTTGTCCTTGCTCTCTCTCCGAGAGGGCCGAGTGCCGCCACTATTGGTCACTCGCCAACGTCGGCTCGTGGCCAGGGTTTGCCCCTACTCCTCCTTGGCCCACGACGAGTGGGCTCTCGGCACGCCCTCTCACCAGAGCAGGCCGCTCGGCTCTAAGAGGCTAGCGACGCTGACGCCGCGGCCACCGCGCTCCCCATCACCACGGGGTGAGCGCGTGCCGCGCACTCCTCCCCGTCGGCACCTCTCTCGACAGGATCAGCCCCAACCTTTCCCGCGAGGCCGAGGACGACGAGGACAGCGCTACTCACGGCTCGGTCTGGAGGCCGACACTGCCCCGTCTTTGTTGGCACCGTGCTCATTCTGGTCGAGGACAGGAGCCATGGCCATCGGCTCTCGCGGGCATGCCGCCGCGGCATCTGGCAAGCGCAAGAGCAACGACAACAGCAAGAGCGAGCCCATGCCAGAGGCCGACGCCGATTTTCCCCCTAATAGAAGAATAATAATAAGAAGAAGAAGAAAAATAAGCAGAATAAGAATCAAGATAATAACACGAAAAAGAAGACGCGCACGGCAGGAGAGAAGGTCAAGCGCCGGCGCGCCGGCGCGGCTCGCCGCACTTCTGCCGCTGGCGAGCCAAGCCAACCCTCACCCACGGGCAGTGCCGAGGCCGAAGAGGCGGAGGCACCCGGCACGCCCAGCGAGGAGGCGGGTGCCGGTCGTGGACGGAGCAGCCATGCAATTCGTGATTGCGGTGAGTGTCGAGGCGATCGTGCCGAAAAAGTGCGCGCTACCCTCAACGCCTATCTTCATACATTGCCGTCTCCCACCTACCAGGTCCAGGCGCCCATGCGCCTCCACCGCCCTTCACGTGACCTTGGGACCATCACTTCGCTTAAGTCTTGGGACAAGTTTTCCAGCGTTGCGTCTGCGGCCCGAAATCACCAACACACGCACAGATGCGGTCTGGACGAACCCACACCACCATCGCTCACATGCGTGAGTTCCTCCAGTGCCGCTCCTCCAAACACGGGCGAACTACCAGTCAAAGGGGGCGAACCCGCGCCCCGCCGCGTCGCGCGCCCCCAGGTCTGACAGTGACGGGGTCTCCTTGCCGAGTCCAGAATGCGCTGAGGGTCGGACAGTTTGGGTTCTCTTTTACCTTTGTCTCGCTTCTCTTTTTTCGCCAGGGTCCGATCGCCTTCACAATCCTGACTCAAATAGGAGGGGTCGCCGTTATTTGGCCCAAACGCTGGCGCATACTTGTATTTTGTACGGAGAGTAGAAAAACGCAATCAACATATGATTGCCGCCGTGCTTTCCTCCGTGCAGCTTCCAACCTCCGCAATTCTAGTTTTCCCTCCTCCTCCTCCTCCTCCTCCTCCTCCTCCTCCTCCTCCTCCTCCTCCTCCCCCTCCTGCTCCCCCTCCTCCTCCTCCTCCCCCCCCTCCTCTTCCTCCTCCTCCTCCTCCACCTCCTCCTCCTCCTCCTCCCCCTCGTTTGCGTTCCCCTTGTTGTGGAAGCGCCGTGATGCGACTTGGCCGGGGTCCCCTTCCTTTTCTGTCCCCGTCGCCCTGCCCCAATCCCTCCATCCCCCCTTTTTCGCCCCTCCATTCAGCATGGCCCCCTCCGCCGCACAGGGTCCCTCCGAGCTGCTCCACAACCACATCAACCAGGTACTGGGCTCGGAGCTCGCACCACAGCGCGCGCGAGGGGCGCGGCCGACCACTGCGACGAGCCACCCGCTCGCAGGGCGCGCCCGCTACGCGCGATGTCGCGTTCGCTCGTTGGGCGGCGCCCGCGCCGATCGCCAATAGGGCGGCCGCGCCAGTCGATCGCGGCGGGAACGACCTTTCGTGCCGCGCCGATAGGCGCGGGTGTGGCCTGTCGGCCGCCGCGCCCGCTTGGCGGCGGCGAGGCCGCCATAATGGGCGAGTGATGCTCAGGAGGAGGAGGACGAGGAGGAGAAGGAGGATGAGGAAAACGAGAACCCCGGAGGGAGAGGAGGAGGAAGGCAGGACATGTAAGAAGAACAACCATAAATGCACGGAGGCCAAGAAGGAACATATGATAACAAAAAGGAAAAATACAACCCATACTAAAAGGATGCATGCTAGCAGTACCAAGAACACATTGCGGCGAATACTGGAATACTGTGACGGAACATACTACTGAGAAGAAGAAGCGTACGAACTATAAGAATATACATATAACGGGGGACGGGGTCCGGGGGCGGCGCCCCGACCATAAATGTGGGCTCCGGGGGCCCCAGAGGCTCGTCGGGGCTTGCCGGAGGCCTCCCCGGTCAGACAAGACGGCCCAAGAAGCGCCCAGGACGGCCCAAGAAACTTCCAAGAGGCCTCCAAGAGGACTCCAAGATGCTGAAGATGGCCTCCAGACGTCCAAGGACGCCCCCAAGACGCCCCAAGAAGCCTTCAACATGCGTCCCACGAGGGCCCCTAGACGCAACCATTGGCCCATTCCTTTTGTAAAACGTACATTTTTGACAAAGTTGCCTTTTGGGCTTTCCGACGCTACAGGACGGTCCAAGTCCCAAGACGGCCCAAGAAGCTTCTAAGAGGGCCCCAGGACAGCCCAAAAGGGCCCCAAGACGGCCCAAGAGGCGCCCAAGATGGCCCAAGAGGGCCCCCAGACGGGCCCACGAGGGGGCCCAGAGGGGGACCACGAACCGCAAGCTCGAGCCTTCCGCCCCAAGAGGCCGCCAGGAGGCCCCAAGGAGGCCCCTCAAGAGGCCCCAGGAGACCCCCAGGAGGCCCAAAGGAGGCCCCGAGAAGCCCCAAATCGGCCCCCAAAATGCTTCGAACCTGCTTCCAGGAGGCCCCCGGTGACGATCCTAGCTAGAACCTAAGCGCGCGCGAAGCGCGCCGAACACCCGCTGTCCTTGGAGTTGGGGAATCGGGTGCTCCAGGGAGCATCGGGTGCCCTGGCAGCGTGGCACGCGCCTGCCTGGCGACGCGCGTCGGGCGGCCAAGGCGTAAGGGAGGGCGCATCGGGCGCACCTCGGCCAGTTTCGAAGCTGCGCGGTCTCGGGTGTCCACGCGCCTCGTGGTGCAGCTGCTGTCAAGCAGTGGCGCGGCGCTTTGACTAGCCTGCAAGCCCGCCAAAGAGTGTTCTAACCTTTTGTGGTTCACGCGACACGTTTTTAGAACGTGTATGGTTGTGGCCGTCTTGTCTGAACACGTTGGTCAAGCGTGCCAAGAGCAGCGCGCGTGGTAATCAAAGCATTCCGTGGCAGGTCTATAGGGATGCCCGGACGGTTGGTCCCTGCCCCTCGCAGGAGGCCCACGCGCCTCTCGGTGAGGCGCGGGCGGCTGGGCGGCCCTTGGTGGCCGCGGCGCAAAGGGGGGGGCGAACCGAGGAGGACTGTCCTTCCCAGGAGGCAGGAGGCGTCCGAGAAGCACCATTCTTCCTGAGACAGCCGCCGGTCCTAGACTTCGGTCGGGCATGTCCTCCTACAGGCGGATCTGGAAGAACAGTACAACATATTCAAACAATCTTCAAACATAATGGAAACATCGTCTCTAGACTATTGGATCACTATTTTTGCTTATTCCTCCTGTAGAGGGACATGCCCGACTTAATCCTAGATTCGACTAAATAAGGTCTCGAGAAACTCGGGGCGAAGGTTTACTGTCCAATTCGGCATCTGGGGCCCTCGCAGGGCCCAGGGGCCGTCGAAGAACCAACCACGCGGGGCGCAAGGCCGGCCCAAGGGAAGATGTCCAGACCTCGGGGGCCCCGCATTGAGAAACTGGAGACATCGGATGTCCGGGATTGGCCCTGCCTGCCCCCTTCTGCGCGCCGCCAGGGTGCGGAGAGGTCGCGCCGCACCTTCGCCAGAGACGTCCGGAACACCCTGGAACGATCGCGGCACCCGCGACACCTTCCAAATCTATAAACACAAAACCCGTGAACCCTAAACCCTACACCCAAAACCCTAAACCCAAAATCCTTAAACCCTAAACCCTTAAGCCCTAAACCCTTAAACCCTAAACCCTACCGAATTGTCCGTCATCGCCCGCTTCTGTGCGCACCTTGCCCGGCAGTGGAGGCCCGTGCCGAGCAGCACCCCTTGCTCGCCTCCAGGGCCCCCTGTGTTTCTTGGGCTTCGATGGCTTTTGCATGGGAAGCGTGACGCTCCCACACCAAAAATCTGTGGACGTCCTGGGGTCTCAGGGTTGGGCTTCTGTGGAAGGTTTCTTGTGGCCGGGCCCCTGCTGTCGTCGTGGTTACAGACCCCCCGCTCCCCCTGTGCGAGGGACCTTCCGGGATAGGTGCGCAGGCGCGGCAAAGGCCGGGCGCGGTTCAGGCGCGGCCCATGAGGGACAGCCAGCGGTCTGGGTCATCCATAGGAGCGCTATTGGGTACGGTAGGTTCGCGCGGCGTTGGCGCGCCGGCAACGCCGGCGAAGGCGTTCAAAGTTGAATTCTGCGACGCGGAAGCACCGATAGACACTGACGCCACGGGCCCCGACTGAATTCAAACTTGAACGATCGGGGCCGCGATCGGATCCAGGTTGAACGATCGACGCGGTGTCGAAAACCTCTGCGCGCGTCGACGCCGCGCGAACCTACAGTAACCGCGCGTCGCAGGTGGGAGAGCTTTCCCTGTCCGGGGGGCGGCGCGAGAGCGCAGAGGTGATCGCGCGTCGCTCTCCTCGCGGCGCGAGTGGCGAAGTCCGGTGACCCCAGCATCACCGCCCACCAATCCACACCAACCCAACCCGAGGGCCCAGGTTTGCCCACCAATTCCAGTGGGGGGTGGGGGTCGGGGAGCATTGAACAATCGGGTCTTCGGGTTGGGTTGGGGTGGTCTGGTAGGCAGTCAAGCTCGGGTCACGCGATGGCCCGCTGCGCCGCGACGCAGCGGCATGCTTCCGCACGGCCCCCAGGGCCAACGCAGGCCGCCAAGGAATCGCGACCGCGGTGCAGACGACGGCTGCCTGCGAGGCTCCCGAGCGCGGTGAGCTGCAGGTGAGGCCCAAAACTTTCAAATATCCCCTCAGCAGGCCTCCAGGAGTCCTCCATCCATGAGCTCACGTTAGGTCGGGCATGTCCCCCTACAGGCGAATTTTGGACGATGAACGACAAATAGTTCAAACAAATCTTCAAAAATAGTCAATAATCAAAAGGTCGTCCCAGACTATTCCTTATTTTTGCTTGAACGTTCCGCCTGTAGAGGGACAGATGCGATTTGAAGCTTACGATGGGATTTCGGTGGCTTCCACCGGCCCCCAAGCGGGTCTCCTCGAGGGGGGGGGGGAGGAGTGCAGTGGGAGGCGTGGCATGGCGCGGCTCCGCAATTTCACCCAGCCAAGCCCCCTGTAATTAGCCACTCGTGCGGCTACGTACAGGGCTCCTGCAAGTCGTCGTGGCGGGCAGGCTTCTACCATGGGGGTCGGCCCTCGTCGTCACGGCTGGACGCGGCTCGAAGAAATCGATTGCAAGGCCAGACGGCCCGCTGGACAGTTGCACCCGAGATCGAACTCTGCCACGAGGATGCGCCGACTACGAATTGCAAGGGGACGTTATTCGTTGCTGCCTTGCCTCGGGATCCCGCGCTTCCTTGGATGCACTACATCCAGCCTGTTTCAAGTCTGGCCTCGCGCTGCAGAGGGGAGCGTTACTGCCCGTCCGCTCGGCGGAAACCTTTACTTGCTCGGGTTGTGCAAGGCGGGGTTTTGCGAGGGGCCTGGCAGGACTTGTGCAAAGGGGGGGTGCAGCCACGGCGCCGGCCACTGTCCGACACGCGAGCGACGGAAGCAGACGGGGTCGTCTGCGCCGACATTGGCGCGTAAGCTGCCCGCGCAAGGCCGCACGGAAGCGCCCTCGTCTCCATTGCAGCGTGCCGCGCTGGCGCTCCGCGTACGCCGCCGCGGAAGGGCGCTGTGCCACCTCGCCTTGGCATCGCTCGGACGTGTGCAGTTTTCCTTCGGCGAGGATCATCGAGAAGCATCCTTGATCATTTGGCGAAAAACACGCACGAAACCAAAGATAACACGGGAAATGGACGTCCGAGCGATGGCCAGTCGCATGAGACCTTTTCTGTTCGTCGCCCACGTGGCTCCCTTCTTTCCCCCCAGTGCATATTGCGAAGGCCTTACGGCCGGCGCCGCCGACCCTGAATGGCGACGACGACGAAGATGACGACGATGACGACGAGCGCTCTCGGGGGCCTCTTGGGGGTAGTTTGGGGGCCTCTTGGGAGGCTCTTGGGGGCCGCTTGGGAGCCTCGTGGGGGCCTCTTGGGACTTCCTGGGGTTCTCTGGGGGGCATCTTGGGGCCTCTTGGGGGCTTCTTGCGGGCCTCTGGGGGCTTCCCGGGAGCTTCCCAGGTCGAGAAGCTCAAAAGGACAGTTCGGGCCCCCCGTTGGAGCTCCCTCTTGGAGCCGTCTTGGCTGCCTCTTCGGCGGTCCTGGAGGCCTCGTGGGCGGTCTTGGAGCCCTCTTGTGTCGTTTTGGGGCCCTCTTGGAGCATCTTGGGGCAGTCTTGGGGGCCTCTCGGCCTGTCTTGGAGCGTCGGGGAGCTGACAAGGCGAGAATGCCGGCATCTTCCGAAAACCGTAGGGAGATTCATGTTTTGTGCCCCTTGGGGCCCTCTTGAGAGTCCTCTTGGGGGCCTCTTGGGGCGTTTTGGAAACTTTTTTAGCCGACTGGAGGCTACTATGGCGACTTGGACCATACTTCGGCGGTTTGGGGCCCTCGAGGACCGTCTTGGGGCATCTTGGGGCATTTTTGCCGCGTCTTGGGGCGGTACTGGGCCCCCGAACCGCTCGGGGGAGTCGTGTTTGGGTAGCGACCCCCCCCGGGACCCTCCCCCACGGCGGGGAAGGGATCAAAAGGAAAGGGGTCTCCCTACGACTCAGCTACAACGTTTCTCCATTTCGCTGTGGCTGGCGCGCTCGAGGAGGAGGGCCCGGTGAAAGTGGGGGGAGCGGCGACGGGCCTAGGGAAAGGGGAGGGGAGCGGCGAAGGCGACGACGACGACGACAACGATCTCGACGACGACGACGACGATGACGACGACGAGTCAAATGGAACAGCCTCTTCCGCGCCGACAGGGTCGGCAGATTTCTCTTAGGTTTTTGAAGGTTTTTATGGTTTTCGCTTTTTCGGGACTCCGACGGCCCAAGAGGCCTCAAAGAAAGCGTCAAGAAGGCCCAAGAGAGTTCCAAGATAGCCCAAGAGGGCCCCACTATTCCTCAAGAAAGGCCCAAGGCGGCCCGGGAAAGCCCCAAGAGGGCCCCCACGAGAGCCCCAAGAGGGCCCCAAGGGGTACCCACGAGAGCCTCAAGACGGCCAGATCACCCCAAGACGACCCATGAGGGCCTCCGTAGCCGTTCTGACTCACGCCCTGTGCGCCAGCAGAGCGCAGGGATCGTCCCACGGCCCGCGGCTCGGGTTAAGTCGGGCCTGTCCCTCTACAGGGGGAATGTTCAAAGATAGTCAAAACATAGTCTGGGGACGATTTTGTCGACTATGTTTGAGCAGGTTTGAGGTTTTTCTTTGTTTTTCGCTCAAAATCCGCCTGCAGGGGGACACGCCCGACGCAAGGCTCGGGGCCCCTCCTCGCCGCCTGCGGGGCAGACGGCCCGATGGCGAGAGCCCAGCTCTCCCCGGGGATCGCCAGGCCCTTGCTCAGCGAGGCCTTGGCCGGCCACGGCGCGCCCCCGTGGCCCTGCGGCCTGCTGCCC